GAAGTCAGTGATTGGTGACTTTAGAGACTATGTGGTTATTCAAAGGTCTTTAAAATCACTTCATGCTGATATCTGCACGAGCATCAGAGGCTGCCTGAAAGCCTAGAGCCATTATAAGCCACCACATGACTTCCTGTGATGGCCACAGGGGCCCTGCTCAGGAACTAGAAGCTGGCACTGTTAAAAACTGGCCCCTGACCCTGTGGAAGTGTAGACAGGTGGCGAATGTGGCTTCTGCATGAGGTTGCCTTCCTTTGTGACAGATGTCTTCACAGTGTCCCATCATGAGTACCCGAGCTGCTGTGATCACTCACACATGTAAGGGAGCAGCTCCCTGATTTGGCCCCATATGGAGGGTCCCCCTTTGGACAGGGATGAACACCAACTGAGTACCACTTACCTGCAGGGCATCAGGGCCACCAAGGTGAGTGAGGTGCTAGAGGGTGTCCTCCCAGGAACAGGACATTCTTCTGGCCTCTTCATACCAGGTGTGCTCACTGGAAGTAGCACACCTGTGACGTCACCTGTTTTTGGGGTGACTCAGTTCTCTCTCTCTTTCTCTCTCAGAAGTCACACTCGGTGCTGCTGCAGTTCCTCTGATATCTCCATGGCAACGTTCACGCGGATTTCATAGAACATAAGGTGTTTGAGCTGGAAGGGCTCTTGGGGATCAGCTCCTCCTGCCCCCACATTTCACAGAGCAGGGAACAGGCCCAGAGAGGGGACATCACATGCCCAGGGTCACACAGCAAGTCAAGGACCAAGAGGAGCCTCTGGTGCCGAAAGCAAACAGCTGCGTTCTGCAGAACTGAATTGGAACACCAGCCCTGGGGGCTTTGCCACTGCCACCACTTGCTAAAGGACCCCTGAGGTCCAGCCCAGTGCTCTGCTGCTTAGTCACAGAGCTCTCCCTCAGTGGGTACAGGAGCAGGCAATATGAGGCCCAAATTCAGGAAGCTCCCAGGTGGGTGCTTAGGCAGCAGAGTCACTTGGAGAGCACCCAAGGAGCTAGAAGTGGGGGCCAGAAAAGCTAGGGAATGGTGCTCCAAGCCTGGAAGATCAAGGAGGGTCTCTCATTCCTAGCTGCACCCCTTTCCTGGCACTCAGGGCCAGCCCGAGGGCTCAGGTCTGGGGGATGGGCTGCAAGTGAGGGGTGAAGCTAGAGGGCTTGGAAGGTGGGGGCACAGAGAGAGATGGTCTAGGCTGAAGGCCCCAGGAGGTCATTGTGGCTGTGAACTTGTGGCACATGTCACTCCAGGACAAGGGGGCCAGATATACAGAAGGACCAGTCAGCCATTGCAGTACAGGAGCTGGCAGCCACAGGCATGAGGGGACCCAGGTGTGGACTGTCAGATGCTCCAGGAGTGAGGTTGCAAGGAGCAGCTCTAGAGCGGCTCCCTTCCCTTGAGGACATGGACACACATGTAGACCCTCTTCTGCTTAGTGGAATTAGCCCTGCACTAGAAGGTTTGGGGGCTATAGCACTCCTTTCAGGGACACATGGTCCTCACAGCCCAGGGATCTGGACATTCCCAGGCCCAGCCAAGGCCACCCAACCCTCCTGACCATTCCCACCCAACTGGCCCTTCCTTTGTGTTTGCTGCCAGCCCGCTCTAGTTATTTCTTGCTGTGTAACAAACATTCAAATATTTATGAATTTGCTCATCTCTACTTCATAAGGTGTCATGGAGAATCCACACCAAGTGGGCTTCTCCCCTCACATGGCAGGCAAATCAATTCCTCTTCACTGGCTACTTGGGCTTTCTCCCAGCATGTCAGGTATCAAAAAGGAAGGAACTTTGGGTCCAAAAATAGTCACTTCTACCATATCTATTGGTCAAAGAAAGCATATTTCCTGACCAGATTCAAGGGTAAGAGACACATAGGCCTTCTCCCTCATTGAGAAAATACCAAAGAATCTGTCATCTTTGACCCATTCCAGAAGCCCCTGTCCTCTGCTCAATGGACTCTCTTGTCCTTCCTCACCTTCAAGTCTGAAGACTCCATCTCTTCTAGAGTCTTTTCTGTCCCTACTACCTCTCCCCTGGGCTGCTACAACCCCTCTGACCCTCTTCTGCCTGTAGGCTTTACTATCCATCACATCTGCCACTACTCTATACAATGTATCTGTGCTCTGCTCAGAAATAATGTATTGATACCTTTCTATGAAAAATGTGCAAGCTCCTAAATGTAACATTCAAATTTCTCTTAGAATTTGGGCTCTCCTATCTTCCCAGTTGGATTACCTCTCCTGAAGCTCACCTGCTACATATTCACTGCCTCCACCTGGTAAGTTTCACCATCTCCTGTTGGACTCCTGATCCACCTTTGAAGCCCAGTGCAAATCCCTGTTCCTCCACAAAGGCTCATTCTCACTACAGGACCATACCAGTTTTGCTCTCGATGCACACTGATACAAATTCTGCCTTAAATCCTTATTAACAATAACATGTCCTCCTGAAATGAGGTTCATGTTTCTAACTCATATTTCTTCTGACAATTTAATAATTGCTTATTGAGGCCCAGAGTTGGCTGCCAGGGATATAGCAGTGACCAAGACAAGCTGCTTCCTGTGCCCAGAGAACTTACATTCCAGAGGGGGTAACAGATGGCAAACAGAGGAACCAAGAGACATAATGAACAAAGAGTAAGAAGACTGCAGGGATGCAGAAAGGCAGGGGGGTCTAATGCAGGTACCCAGAGCTCCCTTTTTTTTTTTTTTTTCAGAGAAGCCAGACATGGTGGGGCGGCCCTGTACTCTCAGCTACTTGGAAGGCAGAGGTTAGGAGGATTACAAATTAGAGGTCAGCCCGGGTGAAGATAGCAGAGATCCTATGCTGGGGCATAGCTCAAGTAGTGGAGAACTAGCCTAGCATGTGCAAGGCCCTGGGTTCAGTCCCCAGGAGAGAGAGGGAGAGGGAGAGGGAGAGGGAGAGGGAGAGGGAGAGGGAGAGGGAGAGGGAGAGGGAGAGGGAGAGGGAGAGGGAGAGGGAGAAATCAGAGAATCAGAGACCTGAATTTTCTGGATTTTTACATAAACCCTCCCAATTTTAAAAGCAAGTCTGTCTCCTCTGCTGTTCCAAGCTCCCCCCTACCCCCCTCTGCTGGCCTCCCACTTTCTCTGGCTTGCCTGCTCCTTTCCTCTTCCCAGTTGCCTGCCCCACCAGCACCACCCCACCTCCAGGATGCCCTACTTGCAGCACCCGCTCCAGAGCATCCAAATTTCTTGTGTGTGTTCTTGGCAACAGCAGGAGAGCATAGGATCCACTGCCTAAGACCCTAGGGCCAATGGGTATTGGCTGCTGAGGCTCCCAGCTGAGACCCTTGAGCCAACCATCCTGAAGGTGGCCTTGTGAGATAGGATACCTGGAGTCCCCAGGGCTTTAGTAGTGGCAGCCTAGACCCACTACACACATTTGGAGATTGGTCTGAAGAGGTGTGTGAGTGTGCGTGGGGGGAGGGACAAAAGGAAAGTAAGTCTGAGGGGCCTCTGAGAGTGCTTCGTTGGGTTTGCCCCAGAGCTCTGACAGGACTCTGAGGGGTGGATCTGAGCCCATCCTGCCATGGGACCATTTATAGTCTATGGGGGCAGAGCAAATCCTGGCTCTGTCACTTCCTAGCCTGGTTACCTTGAACAGCTCCCCCTTGTCTTCTCAGGCTTCAGTTTCCCACATTGGGTACCCTGGCAGCACCCACTTCACAGGACAGTTTTGAATATGTCACATGTCTGACACATGACAGCAGGGTGGTTCTCAAGAGCCTCTGCTTGAATCACCATGGGATGACATCCTTCCATCTGGATCTCTGCAAGCCTCCGAGTCCCAGAGGTAGCTAATTATTCATACGCTGGGCAATGCCAGCTGGGAGGGCTCAGACCTCTGTGGGACCCAGTGTCATGATGACAGCTGTCATTTCTTGGATTACAGCCAGGCTGTCCCTCCAGCTCCCGGAGGAGCACCAAGAATCACCTCACCCCAGGACACTACCCCTCTGCACCTGGCACCCCCATTCTGGAGACCCAAAGTGTCTTCAGTGGGGGTCCTAGGGGGTAAAGGGGGTGTCAAACCCTGGAAATGTGTGTTCCAGGGTCCAGTGTGGTATTTGAAAAATCAGCACTGATATCCCTGTGGCCAGAACCTGGAATGGGAGGGCCAAGGGGCCAGTCACACCTGGAGAGGAGCTTTCACCTCGAATCCTCCAGGGCAGAGTCCCCTGGAAAGGGAGTCCTAGAGGTCCTGTCCTGCCCCTGGCTGTGACGCTGACTTTCTTTTTCTCCTTCAGATCTCTAGGTTTCAGCCCAGGTGGCAGAGGCTGTGGGAGAGTAAGGTGCCCACTATATCCTGCCTCTGATAAGCAGCTGTCGGCTGAGCCCAGAGTGCCCTGGCACAGCAGGGTTTATTTGCCAAGCTTGAGTGTTGGAGCTTCCTGGACCCGCCTGCCCTGGAGGGGACAGAGCAGGGAGGAGCAGTGGGCCAGGTGGCAGGCATCTCTGGCTGAGAAGGACAGAACCCCAGAGTGCTCACGCATACCGCCCTTCTGCCCACAGAACCCTCATCTAAGGACATCTACCTTGTTTCATTTCGGTACCCATGCAAGGAGGGAATCACTGGGCTGGGGCAGCAAGGAATGGGGTGGTGCACAGTACACGGAGGGGACACGAGATCCGGAGGCTCCCTTACTCAGGTGCACTGCCCCACACGGGGGTCCAGACACCCAGGCGACTTAGACGCTGGGTCACTGGGCCTGAGCTACCTCACCTGGCAGGAGTCCGGGACAGTGCACCGCCATGGCAGAGACCACCAAGGGCCGTGTCCAGGCCTCCCGACCCCGCCCCCGGAGCGGGGGGCTCATTTGCATGGCCCCGCCCCGGCGTGGCCATTGGCGGCGGCTACGGAAGGCCGGGCCTGAGTGGCTGCGCGGCCTGTGGGGTGGCAGGGGCGGGGCGGACGCCAGCCCCAAGATGCTACCACCGCCTCTGCCGCCGCCGCGGGACGGGTTTGGGTCCGGGTCCGGGTCGGGCTCGGTAATCACAGGCAGTTGGACGGCCCGGGGCTCCGCGGCCGCAGCAAGAGTGCACTGAGCGCCCGCTTGCCATGTCCAGGAAGAAGACCTCCAAGAGCAAGGCGGGGAGCGTACCTGCTGCCTCGGCGCTGCCCGCCGCCAACGGGTCCCGGCCGGCGCGCCCCGGGTCCGCGCACCCTGGCTCTGAGACGCCGCCCAACGGGCCCCCGCAGCCCAGCCGGCCCTCGCTGGGTGGCGGTGGTGACTTCTACTACGACGTCGCCTTCAAGGTGAGCTACCTCCCTCCCCACCCCCAACACACACAGGCTAGTGCAGCAGGTGGCGTCGGGTCCGAGCCGAAGGGGAGGGGGCGCAGAGGGGTAGTGCCAGGCTCAGCGGACCCCAGCTGCCAAGTCGTCCGCTGCGGAACCCCGTGGCTGGCACGGCTGCACTGTGCATCGTGCGCGCGCGCGCACACACAGCTGTCAGGCCCGAGTTGGAGGTATTCAACAGCTGGCAGGGTCTGACTTCCCGCCCCCCCCAACACATTCACCAGGTGGAGGGCCAAATAAGGGGTCCCGAGACATCAGAGCTCTGCAGCTGTCCCTCCCTGATTCTCGCCCCCACCTGGGCTCCGGTTTTATCATTTCCCATATGCTGCCTTCCCTCACCCTGTGTGGGTCTCTGCTTTTTCCAGGAGGCTATAGGAAGAGGTTTATCAATTGGGTGAGGAGACTGAGGTCTCTTCCAGACCAAGACAGAACCTGTGTGAATTTGGCCGGGGTAGGCAGGACCATTTTTGGGTTTTGGAGCATTTGGCAGGAGGCTGGGTGGGGGAGGCAGAGGGCCTGACTGCCCCTCCCTGTACCCAGATCTGGCCCAGGCCCCTCTTCATGTCGAAGTCTGACCCTGGATTGGCAAGTCCCTTCTGAGCCTTGCTGCTGGGATTTGTAACCTTACTGGGGTTTGAAGTCCCTGGCCCAGAGCCCCTACAGTAGGGTCTCTTAGGAGGTCTCAGCTGACACCCCCAGCACTGCTCTCCATTAGGCCCCAAATGTTGCACTCCCGGATCAAGCATGATGTCCATTGGAGAGGGACAGGTAGGATCCCGATTGAAATGGGCACTGTTGGAGGGGGAGGGGACTGAGACCACCAGGGTCAGAGCTAGGGATTCAGGCCATTGAAAACTGTAGCTGCTGCATCTCTCCAGGCTATGCTGAGTCTCCTGGCCTGGGATGTCCCCTTCTCTAGTCTCTCCAAACACAGTCCATGTTTGGCCAGGACTGCTCAGGATGCATCAGAAACCCCCTCTGGGTAGGCTTACACCTCAGTACCCCCCCCCCTTTTTTTTTTGGCAGTACTGAGGCTTGAACTCAGGGCCTTCATCTTTTTTTTTTTTTGTGAAGGGTTTTTTTGAGATAGGATCTCTTGAACTTTTTGCCTGGGCTGGCTTTGAACCTTGATCCTCCTGATCTCTGCCTCCTAAGTAGCTAGGATTACAGGTCTGAGCCACTGGCACCAGGCTCTCAATCTCCTTTTTCCCAGGCCTGACCCCCTGACCCTCCTATCTGTCCTAGGTCATGCTGGTGGGGGATTCAGGAGTAGGGAAGACCTGCCTACTCGTGCGCTTCAAGGATGGAGCCTTCCTGGCAGGCACCTTCATCTCCACTGTGGGCATTGACTTCCGGGTAAGAATGGAGGCTGATATCCTGAACTATGACTGGTCTTGCCATGCCCCAGCCCCCCAGAATCCCTGGGTAGCTGGTTTTATGTAGACCCAGTTGTGTCCACAGGTCAGGGAGTGAAGCTTGGCAAGGGTGGCTGGGATGGGACTCCTTAGCTACAAAGCTGACTGCCTCCCAGTACCTTTCAACACCAGGGTGGTGGCTGCATCTGAATGAAGCAGAGAGAAGACCCCTTGCAATGGGGCTGTATACTGTGTCCCAGGGTGGTGGCAGTCAGAGGGGACCCAAGACTGTGGGAGGTGCTGGGTCCCTGCCCAGGTCCCACAAGCCAGGTAGCATGGTACACAGCCTGGGAGAGGGTTTCCAGAGCTTGCCTGGTGGAAAAGTTCCTGCCTTTGGGTGTGGAGACCTCCTTCCCCCCACCCTAAACCCTAAGTGGGGGCATGGGGGCTCTGTTATCAAAGCCCCACCTTGCCCACCAGTCTGAATCGCACGTGCTGAGGTGCTGGTGTGTTCTTGGCAAATTGTGAACTTGCATTTTTCTCACCCTCTAATTAGACCCAGTTAGCTGGAGGCCTGTTCGAAGGACAGGAAAGGGGGGCTCCCTCCAGTCTGGGAAGCAGTTCTCTACCTCAGTTGGGGGTTCCAGGTCTCCCAAAGCTCTCCAGGACGAAGGGCTGAGGTGCTAGAGGCGGGAAGGATAGGCTTGGCGGAATGAGTGATTCTTTGCCTGTCCTCCCTTCCCCCACTTATTGGCTCCGGGCAAGTGGTAAGGGAGGTGGGGCCATTTGGTTTGCATCCCTGTTCAGGGTACCAGGGAAAAGCGAGGTATTGTCCCCAGCCTGGCAGATGGTTGAAACTGGTTCCCTGGAGACCCAAGAGTACCCTGACCACAGGGGCTCCAGAGGAGGGAGGTGGAGCTTGTTCCAGCAGACCAGGGACTCAGTCAGTGGTTTTAGCCCCTCCTATACACCTGAGGTGAGACAACTCCAGCCTGGCATCTAGTCCTGGGAAGGCCCAGCTGGCAAGAGGCTTTAAAAAAAAAAAAAAAAAAGAAAGAAAGAAATTAGTCTTTTCTCTGGGTATGATGTGTTTCCCAGTGCACAAAACAGTTCACATGGGAGCAGCTGCAGATGGGCACCCCACCTACCCCATTTGCAGATGTGGAAACTAGAGCAGTTAATGTTGACTGGGTTATAACACAGATGACTTTAAGTTGGTACAAATGGCTCTAAGCAGGAACAGTTCATCTACAGACTGAGAGGTCTACACTCTTAATAAAACCTGAGCAGGCCCCAGGGAGAGGGCTTTCTAGAGCAGTGAAGAAAAAATCTGTACAAGAAGTAGACACAGCTGGCCACAGAGAGTGGCAACCTGACATCAGCTAAATCTCTTCAAGGGGTCACCTGGAGGTACAGGAAGCAGAAAAGGGAAGAACCAGGCAGCCCCAGGTTTCAGAAGTATGAGCTGCAGGCAGTGGTGTGTGGGACAGGCATTGCTCAAGAATGACTTAGGGCCGGGCACCGGTGGCTCACACCTATAATCCTACCAACTCAGGAGGCAGAGACCAGGAGGATTGCAGTTCGAAGGCAGCCTGAGCAAATAGTTTGAGAGATCCTATCTCAAAAACACCCATCACAGACACAAAAAAAGGGCTGGTGGAATGAGTGGCTCAAGGTGTAGGCCCTAAGTTCAAGCCCCAGTACCAAAAAAAAAAAAAAATTAAGACTTAGAATTTAGCCAGGGGTGGGAAAGGGGCTCCCCAGTCATCAGTGGGGCTGGGTTCAACACTGGCTTGTATTAATCCTGTGACACTGAGTCCTGGCTGAAGCTGACTGGTTCTCTTTCAGAATAAAGTTGTGGATGTGGATGGCATGAAGGTGAAGCTGCAGGTGAGATGACTGGGGGAGGGCAAGTTGGGGGTAGGGGTCACCAGGGAGGAGCTGAGCAGCATGACCAGAGACTGTTGCCACAGATCTGGGACACAGCTGGTCAGGAGCGGTTCCGCAGTGTCACCCACGCCTACTACCGGGATGCTCATGGTGAGCCCATGGACATGGGGGCTGACCATTCCCCTGGGAGTCGGGGCTATGATCTGTTGGTGGGACAACAGATGAGGGTGTGATGCTGCCACACTGTGACTTGAGGTGTCTGGGCAGCAGGGTATGTGTAACTGGGAACCACTGAGCCCCAGGGTTGTCCTCACTGCCCTTTGCCCCCAGCACTGCTGCTGCTCTATGATGTCACTAACAAGGCCTCCTTTGACAACATCCAGGTCAGTGGCCTTCCTTGGTGGAGGGGGGTGGAATGGGCCACCAGAGATGGGGATTGATGGCCCCTTTGCCCAGCACACTGAGCTTTTCTGGAAATGGGCACCCTATGGGGTCTGCCTTGGAGTCAGCGTTCCAACAGGGCAAAGTGCACAGGGAACACCAGCCCCCAGCCTGGTCCCAGCTGTCCCCACACAGGCCTGGCTGACTGCGATCCAGGAGTATGCCCGGCACGATGTGGTGCTCTTGCTGCTGGGGAACAAGGTGGGTGGCCGGGTCCCATGGGGTAGGGCCGCTGTGGGGAGGAAGGGTTGGCAAGCCATGGGCCAGACGTCACCAAAAATCCTGTGCTGGGGCCAGGTGGACTCTGCTCAAGAGCGTGTGGTGAAGAGGGAGGACGGGGAGAAGCTGGCCAAGGTGAGTCAGGTGGGGTGGGTTCCTGAGGGTGCCCTTGAGGCTGTGAAGCCTGGGCTGTCCCCACCAGTCCTCCCAGGTGGCAGTAGCTGTTTGCAGGAGTACGGGCTGCCTTTCATGGAGACCAGTGCCAAGACGGGCCTCAACGTAGACTTGGCCTTCACAGCCATAGCAAAGTAAGTCCTGGCAGTGAACATAAAGCTCCCCAAGACCCAGGATCTGAATCCCCGTGTTTGGGGGTACAGGAGGCCACTTTGTTCCATCATCACCCCTGCTCTGCAGGGAGCTGAAACAGCGCTCCATGAAGGCTCCCAGCGAGCCCCGCTTCCGGCTGCACGACTATGTTAAGAGGGAGGGTCGAGGGGCCTCCTGCTGCCGTCCCTGAACCTGGCTGAGCTCAGTCCCACTTTGAAGGAAACAGCCCTGGAGGGCTGGACAGCGGGTCTATAGGCCCTTCTGACTTCATCAAGTGGACACCCCAGGGTGCCCATTTCCAGGACTCCTGGATCAAGCTTCATCCCTTAGTCCCATCTTAATCCTTGGTTCCGAGGAGCAGGCCACAAGGCCATCATAGAAAAGCAAAGGTCCTCCACTTGGAGGGGCACACCTCACAAGGGCACAAACCATGCTGGTGCTCTGCTGCCCCCCTCTGGGCACTCCCAGCTAAGCTGGGCCACAGGCCAGCATGTGTGTAGTGCCTAACAAAGCCACGTCTTCACCTGCACACTGCTCAGGCAGGACTCCACCGCTAATCATACGTTCATGTGCCCCAAGGACCACAGCCACCTCTTCCCTGGCAACCCATAAGGGGCTCTGGTCCAAGCATCAGTAAAGTCCAAGGCTGTGTTCATGATGCAAGGAATGACACGTGGGCATTAACAGAACATCAGGAAACTGCGATCACCAGCCCTAGCCTGCTGACGAAGGTACCAACTTGGTGGGCCACAGCACTAGGCCAGGCCTGTTCCTGAGGCATATGGTTGCCCAGCTATTTCCAGCTTATGCTAAAGCCATCAAACCAGTCTTTTGAGTGGTTTCAGTCCTAGTGAATAAAAGTATGTTTTCTGAAGTTTGTTTCATCTGTTGAGCAACTGAAGTTTTAGAGGACTCAGTAAGGCCAGGACTTCAGGACAAGTTGGGCACAGGTGGGGATCTGGATGATTAACGTCAATTTCCCCACAGTACCAAACAGTAAAGAGGAGCATTCAGGACCCATCCTATGGTAAAGGCATAAAACAGGCAAAAAGCAGTCCCAACAGACTTGCACTTTCGTGCCTATATCCCTTTGCAGATTGCAGGTGGTTCACGTTAAGAGCACATGAAATTAATGATGCTTAAGAACAGGGTTTGGTGAGCCTTGAGTCAGTTAAAAAATTTACCAAAACAAGTAGAAGCAAAGCTTTATTAAAATACTATTGACTCAATGTTGGAGTAGCCTTGTAAGAAAAACAGATTAAGGTGACAGTATAAGGTAGATGGACCTCATATACCTGTATGAAATTGCTTTAAGAAACCTACTGCAATTGCTTTAAGTGGGGCAGGAGGGGGAGAGATGATGGGGCAATATAACTAATGAACATATAAATCTAACCAGAATTGTCACTATGAATCCTTCCTGAGTAATGAATATATCCTAATAAAAAGTTTAAAATAAAACACTACGCTGCTGAGGGTAGCAGTGGGCAGCTGAGCAACAAGGGAGTGCTGCTACCCTGACGTTTGGGACAGGCCTCTACGGTATGTTAGGGAAGGGCTCAAAAGAACAGAGAATCACGCTTTATGAGTGACACAGGACTCTAGCAATCTCTGGGGATGAGAGTGCGAGAGCACGCTGAGTTGGGGGTAGGCTGGGTTTTTTAAGGCCAAAGCAAGAACAAAGACAGGAAGCAGAAGATAATCAGAAGGAGTAAGGAAAAGGAGTAGCCATTGTAGGTTAGGGGGGCATGGGGTTGTATGAGGCGGTTTGCCTGGTCCCTGATGCCTCCTTGTGCAGCTGTGAGGTGGTCCAGGCTGTGCCAGTTTTGCAGGACCACTGCTGCCAGGGAGTCCTGTAGATTGTCTGTTGTAAGATTTCTTTGAGCCTGTTAGTCAATTCCTTAGAAAGTCTGGCAAATTCAGAAATGGATATTCCCATGCCAGCCCAGCCAGTTCCTGCCCCAGTAGTGATCCCCAGGGCTACCAGGAGGGGGAACCAATTGTACTGCTCTCTGTTCTTATTTGAGTATTACCTGAGAGGGGATAGGAAATGAGGTGTATGGGGGTGCGAACTCAAGTGTGGGGGACATATAAGCTAGGGTGCAGGTTCCAGTCTAATTGGTTGGTAAACAGATGTAGCTATTTGTCCCGCATACCCAAGTGTCCTGAAGTGAAGGCACCCTGATGTGTGGAATTAGGTGAGCAGGAGTAGATTGGGGGGGTGGACTGGGAACAGGTATTTGGTGGGAGCACGCTAGCAAAGAAGCTGTTAGCACAAAAATGGTGTTGCTGCTGGGGCCCCTGGAATTCCAAACCAGTGGGTTTGGAGTTTCCAGACTCAGTCTCTAACTGTGAGTGGAGGAAGAGTCTGATGTTTGCTGGGGTTGGAACTTGTTTGCAGGTGTCATTGGCAGGAAACAATCATTTCATATTCTGGGATAGCTTTGTGTCTCGTCCCACACAGTACTGTGAGGTGGTGGTGGGGATTTTGTATAGGTCACCTGAAAAGGTAGGGAAGTCTGAGAGTTTGAAATAGTCAGGGCTGGAAATCTTTATGTTTCTGTGGGCTGTAGGATTTAGGAGAAGGATGGTTGTGTTGCAATGAGAAGGTGGGAGCCTACCTGTTGTGGTGGGTGGGATATAAGGGAAATGCAGAGTGGGGCCTGATATGCCAATTTAAGATTGATTTGGGCAGGGGTGGTTATAGGTCTTTGTGGGGGTTTGGGGTTTAGGAAGGAGGTCCTGATTTCCTTGATAGCACCTACCAGGAAGATGTTTGTTCCTTCTACCAGGGTCATTCCCTAGACACCGAGCTTCCTGTATACTCACTACAGCCGGTGAGGTGACCCAGTAGTGTAGTGAGACTGGAAGGTTGGGGCTAGATTAAGGAAAAGGTGTTGGGGGATAGGAAATCCCAAGGCCACTTTTTTTGGCTAACTGATCCACCTGGTTGTTGGCCTGAGACAGGTATTTTCCATCCCGTTGGATGATGGCTGCCCAAGTGGGGAGTTGCTGCCTGAAGTAATTCATCAATTAAAAAACTGTCCATTTACAATGGGGGCTTCTCACTGTGTTAGGAATCCTCTCTCCCCCCAGATTAAAACATCGGAGTGAATAATGTATATGTATTTGAGGGCTATTCTGCCTGCTGAGGTCCTAGGGGGCAGTTTTGGCTTCTATCACCCATTGGGGAGGGAAGCAATCTTGATCATGAAATCCCTCAATTATTGCACATCCAGCCTGGTAGGGGTGGGCCTTATGGGAATTCCCTTCAATGAACCAGTGGGGGGGGGCGCCCTAGAAAGGTGAGAATCTGTAATATGGGAAAACGAGCTAAAAGCAGAGTAGAGAGCCTCAAGGCATAAATGGGCAGGGGCTCCCCGAAAAGGGTGGAGATAATGGGGAGAAAGGTGGAGGGATTTAGGACAGATCATCGATTGAAAGATATTTGGGGATCTAAGAGTGTGGCATGATGTAGTTGAACCCTGGAGGGAGGGAGGGAAAGAAAAGCCCAATGGCTCAGGTTTGTCAGGGAATAAGAAGACAGGACATAGAGGGGACTATGAATGGCTACTTTGTTGGCCTCTGGGATAAGGAGTGAGACTGTCTCTAGAACTCTGAGGCAATGGGGCCAGCCTGGAATACTGGGTCTAATTGTTTGGATAGGTAGGCGATGGGGTGAGAGTGTCACTGGCCTTTTGGCATAGGAGACCCAGAGCATGGCCTTTTATCTGAATGAATATAAAGGAAGAAAGGTTTGGTAGGATCAGGGAGGTAGTTAGGAGAAAGGGATGAGGGGGCTAGAAGAAGATGCCCTTTGGGGGCATCCTAAAGGGGCTTGGCTATTAAAGAAATAGGGTATCCATATCCTAAAGTAGTTGAATAAACCCAGTAGGGAGAGCAACTCCCCTTTGTTAGAGGGCAGCAGGGTGCTAAGGAGTGAAGTAAGGCAGTCTGGAGAGATGGACTGACAGCCAGGGCATTCAGAAGTTTGTTGTGTGGGCCTGCAAAGGAGGTGGTCATCCACATACGGGATGAGATGGCGGGGGGCCAGTCGAAGGGACTGGAGGTCCTGTTGGAGAGCCTGTCCAAAGAAATGAGGGCTATCCTGGAATCCTTGTGGCAGGATGGTCCAGGTTAGTTGTTACGAGGTGAGGGTGTCTGGATCTGACCAAGTAAAGGGGAAGAGAGGTTGGGAGACAGGGCGGAGCAGAATAGTGAAAAAGGCATCTTTTAGCTCTAATACAGTAAAGAACTGTGTCTGGGAAGGGATAGTACAGGAAAGTATAAGGGGTGGAAACAGGGTGTGTATGGAGAATGGGTCTTGGACGCCCAGGATGGGGGTATTGTGAGGCTTGTAGGAGCCTGTGAATGATAGGTTTGAGTGCCCTGAAGGTAGGAGGTGGCAGGGGATATTGTGAGACATTAACAATTGTAGTGGGGTCTTTGAAGGTCAGGAGATAAAGAGTTTCCTACAGTATGGAATCACTTGGTTTCAGTGGGCCTTTCTGTTTCTCCCTTAGAAGACAGTTGACTGTAACTGAATTTTCTGCACATGGCCTCATCTCCGCATTCCACCTGGCTCTTGGTATTTCATTCTCTTAACGGAAGTTTACTGCTAAGCAATTTAGATAAAGGCCCCCATCTTACTGTCAGGCCCTCCTGCCCGCTGGGCCTCTGGAATGCAGTCCATTTAGGGTTAAGGGCTGCAAGTTGATGTTGCGGGAAGAATAACAGACCAGCAAGAACGAGACAAACCCAGGTGGTCGGAGGAAAGGAAGATTTATTTACGCTAAAGGGCCAGAACCTGGATCTCTCCAAAATGGCGCCGGCCCTTTAGCTCAGGGTTGTTGGTTTTTTATGCCTCAGAATGCGGAAGCAAGCAAGCGGGAAGGACAAAAGCAGACGTGGCAGTTAGCCCTTCGCTGGGAGGTTACAACGTGTCACAGTAACACAAGGTTACCACGTATCACACTAGCACACCTGTGGCGGAAGGACATCGCTGTTTCTCTCGGGATGGTCTGAAACAGGGACCCGGCTGGGGGAGGGAGCTTTTACTTGCCTTTAGATCTTTTCCCTGGGTTTCCATCACTGGCTCACCACGGGCCCTGAAAACCAAACAGCGTGCAGCATGTAGACAAAAAGCCCTCATTCCCCTATTTTACTCAAATCCCTCCCCGTCAAGGGAACGTACCTAAGCCTCAGTTTTGCAATGTAATCAGACTGCACATGCAGTTTTCATACGAGGTGTCAGAAGTTAAAAGTAATTCATCATAGGCTTGGAAGTTCATGGGGAAAACCAGGCCAGGTTGAATCTTACCCGCAGGAAGCTGATGTGTGG